TTACAGGTGTGAGCCACCTTGCTCTAAAAAATCTTAAAATGTATTTAATTTTGATTCTGCTGGAGTTTTAATCCAGTGTCTTGTTCAGGCTTGGCAAGTACTCTACTGCTGAGCTCTATGACTGGCCTACTTTTTTTTCATATTTGTTTGTTTGCTTGTGTGGCACTCAGAGGACAATTTTCAGGAGTCAGTTCTCTCCCCCAGGTGGTCAGGCTTGATGGAAAGCACCATTACCCAGTGCACCTCACTGGCCCTATTTATTTATTTTTGAGACAGGGTCTCTTACATTGTCCAGGTCAGCTTCCTTCCTCTACGTCCCAAGGAGTTGGGACTGCAGCCAGCATCTAAGTGTCATCAAACCCACATGACAACAAGTAGAAACTGTCATAATCACCTTCTTACAGATAAGAAAGCCAAGGTACAGGTTCTATAAAACAACTTGCCAAAGGTCATAAACCCCACCCAGTATGTACAACAGGAACTCAAGCTCAACCAATCTCATCTATGCTTTTTTTTTCCATGTGTGTGTATGTGTGTGTGTGTGTGTGAGAGAGAGAGAGAGAAAGGGAGAGAGAGGGAGAGGGAGGAAGAGGGAGAGGGAGGGAGTATATGTGCTCCTATGATCACACAGGTGCATATTTGGGTGGGAGGCCAGGGGTCAATGTTAGGTCAATCAATTCTTAATTCCAGCAATCAAGTCCTAAATTGCTCTCCACTTTATTTTTTGAGACACAGTCTGTCACTGGCAAGAGCCCCAGGATCCTCTGGTCTCTATCTCCCAGTGCTGCCTCCTTAGCACTTTATGAACCGAGCCATCTGTCCAGTTTACTATTCTACTGAATTAAGTGTACATGGAAATTACCTGCTGGTCCATAATTATATTCAAATCCATAAGCAGATTTCTGAAAGTATCAGGCCACCCCCCACTCCCCAAAAAAGAAAGAAAAACATTGGACAGTGGTGGCACACACCTTTAATCCCAGCACTAGGGAGACAGAAGCAGGCAGATCTCTGTGAGTTCAAGACCAGCCTGGTCTGCAGAGTGAGTTCCAGGACAGCCAGGGCTGCACAGAGAAAAATAGAAGAAAATGACAACAAAAAAAGCTGCTCGGCAGACAGGAGCCACGGTTCAGTGGTTAAGAACTGTGTCCTGCTCTTTCAGAGGACCTAAGTTAAATTTCCCCCACGTACATTGGGCAACTAACAGCCTTCTCTGATTCCAGCGCCAGGGCATCTGAGCCTTTGGCTTCCCAGGGCACATGCACACACGCACTTAAATAAACACACACATCATTTAAAATAATACAAACAAATCTGAAAAGAAAAGAAAGTGCATACACAGAAGGAATGCTGATGCTGAATTCCCAACAGGACTTCAAGTTAGGGCCCCAGATGGTAAGGACAAAATATTAAAGGTGGAGGCCAAGTGGAAGTGGTTGGAGGTGACTTAAATACCCACACAGTGTTTAAATATTCATTTATAATTAATCATAATTGTCCAAGGCACAAATGTCAGAAAATTGAGGGTGGCTCTAACACCAACTGGCCAGTTTTTAAACAGCAGTTTAGCACAATGAGTCCAGTCACGGGCGAGGAAGAAAAGTACATACAGCAACCAGGTCAGGGTGAAGAGCTTTACCTCGGCTAACCTTGTCCGAAGTTGGCCTGGTTGTTTCTTTGCAAACAATCTGATGACTTCAGGTGTTTTAAAGGCCTGGCTGATAGCTGCCTGAATAGCCTAGAAACACAGGAACGCAAAAACTAACCAAAATATTCCACACAATTAGATCCACAATATTTGACTATCTCAGTTGAGTCTTATTTAATAAGTTTTGGTACTTGCAATCGGTTTTCAACTGCCATTTCTGAGCTTGCTACTGGAGCCAAGTAGACACAGAATCGAGAAGCTGTCTGGCAAACACAGCACTCTTTCTTTCTTCTGAGGTGTTAGAGATAGAATCTAGGATCTTGTACATGCTAGGCAAGTACATTTTCTATCTGAAACATGCCCACCAAACAAGAACAACTCACACATTAAAAAAATAAAAAAGAACCCATCAGTAAATTCCTCTTACCAGCTGCATCCCACTGAGTTCATCTACCAAAGTCATATTTCCTGACATAATCTTCTTCAGGGAATCGTTGAACTCACTCAGCTGCTCCAAAGTTTCTTTTTTAGTTTCCTCATATTCGTCTGCATCGAGCTCCTCCCTAGGTCACAGTTCACATCAGAATGCAGAAACATACAGAAGTCTAAGTCTGAAAATTTTCATGCTCATTCTAGAACAGGCTGAAGGGAAATGGATGCTGCCGGTGGGACACGCATCCACACAGTTACACTACCGGCACTTTCACTGTCTTTCAGTGTGGTTAAACTCGGGGATGAGAGCATGTGATCTTCCATTGCCCGTGAACAGATTTTACCAATATGAGGCACACGACAAGCCCACAGTGACTTCTCCTCAAGCAATCAAGGGCATAACGTTGGGCAAGGCAGTGGACACAGGCAAGCCTCAATGTGTCTACACAACTTCAGAAAATTATAGTACCATCCTACTAAGATTTCTATAAGAAGTAAATGAAACAAACTGCCTAGCATCTAGTAACAGCTAAGTAGCTGCAATTAGCCTCAGACTCATCAATGGTAGGATTATGTTCCGTGCAAGTAAACAGCAACGCACCTGTCCTCTGAGTAAAAGGTTGCTTTTATTCTCTAAGCAAGCTCGTTCAATATTTACTGCAAGGAACAACAGCCCGGAGCAGTGAACGCTCACTCTGGACCAAGCACTGTATTATCCTTCACCTTAATGCTCATAACATCTTTGAAAGGCCATTAAAGACTACAATTAACAGTTTGCTTGTTTTCTTCTGCTTTATTGAGACAAGGCTGGCCTGGAGCTCACCACATAGGCAAGGACCTTGAGCTCCCAGCCCAGCTGCATCCTCCTCCCAGGTGCTGGAGTGCACCCTCCCCCCGCCCTTCTTCTTCGATGCTGGGGATTGGGTCCAGAGCCTCAAGCATGTTAGGCGCACACGCATCTATGGAGCCATGCTCCCAGCACAATCATTAGCCAGGAGCTCGGCCCAGGCAAAGTTGTCTTAAATACGGAAGACAAAGTAAGCTTTATTTCCAGGAGGTTAAGTATTTTAAGTCTTTCACATCCTGGACTTTATGACTCCAACAGGCAAAGTACTGTAAAATGCTACAGAGAAGACCACAATCATACGCGGGCTTGCATCCATGGAGCTTGAACTCTCCTCAGAAACAGGCATTTACAGTGAACAACATATAATTGCATAATCACCTGCATTCCTCCAGATCCTGTAATTGCTGCATCAGTCTATCCAATTGTTCTTCTAAATTCTGCTTTAATTTGCTTGTCTCTGTCTTTCCTCTGGAAGCCATTTTAATCACTACAAGAACAATAAACCCACAATATAGCACACTGTATTTTGTTACTTTAGGAGATCCAACATATCAGTGCCATTCAAAATTTAAAAAATCTAAAATTCTCGTCAGTGGTGGCACCTTTAAGCCCAGCACTTGGGAGGCAGAGGCAGGTGGATCTCCGAATTCAAGACCAGCTTGGTCTACAGAGAAAGTTCTAGGACAGCCAGGGCTACACAGCGGAACCCTGTCTTGAAAAACCAAAAAAGAAAAAATTAAGAAAATACAAGATAGCCTGGCATAGTGACGCACCTTCAGTTCCAGCACTCAGGGAGGCAGAGGCAGGTAGATGCTGTGAGTTCAAGGCCAGCATGGTCTACAAACAGTCCAGAAAAGCCAAGGCTATACAGAGAAACCCTGTCTCGAAAATAAAAAGAAAAGAAATGAATATAAAAAAAATGAATATACTATTTCTTGGATTATAGGTATGTTCCAACATGCATAAGACGTTTTTTTCAGAATAGGGTATTGAATCCATTCATTCCTGCCTAGAGAAGCACTCTACCATTAAGATAAATCCCCTGCCCAGTAAGTTACTAGTGTTTAATAAAAAAATTCTATCTCTTTTGGGAGGTGTGTGAAGAGCCAGTATGCTAGTTACGCACTCCAGGCCACACCTCCCAAACCTCAATAGTGTCAAGAAGCAAAGTTATTTCGAGTAAATTTCAGGGAATATAGATGCTTTTTTTAAAAAGCTTTAACCACACGTTACAGATTTGGGCAAGATTTAACTCACTTGCACCACCTAGCATTGAATAAAAGTGGTGAGTTTTCCTTGAGACAGCTGCAGTGGCTCTCAAATACTGTCATCTTGGAGTGGAAAGTATTCACTCATGCTTACCAGGCTTCTAGCGGTCCCTACTGTGTCCGGTGCTGACTGGTCTCAAACTGCACAAATCGCCAACGTCGGAGCTCCGAGTGTCATCAACTTGAGGAAAGCGGAATTGCTCGTCGGGTTTACAGGAGGCTCAAACTTCAAACCTCCTAGGGTGGAGTTAGCTAGAACAAGGGCAACTATTACGTAGTTTTATTTGCTAGTTATGAACTCTGCCCCACAGCCGTTCAAATAACTTCCCCTTAAGCAGCCTGTAATTTAAAGACACTCTCCATTCCCAGGAAGACGCAGGGGAGGGCAGTTAATCCCTGGACTATGCCTCCTGCATCTTTTTCTGAGGTTTCCTCTGGTGAGGCCACAGCACCCAGGACACGCCTTAAGGAAAACTGTCAAACCCAGAAGCCCGAAAAGGCAAGGACAGAAAGCACACCTTCTCGGGGCCGGAAGTGAGCAGCGCTCGGCCCAGGACCACCGGGGACACAACAGCCGCACGCTCGGACGCCAGTCTCCTCCCCGCGGAGGAACTGACGCTCCGGGCGGCAGGTCCCGCCGAGGCCGGGCTCCGGAAGGCCCGGCGGTCACCTGGGGTGGCGGGGAGTCCGACGCCCGCGAAACGCCTCTCTGATCGGAAGCAGGACAACCTCCTTCAGCTCTCGGACTCCCCGCCGGCCGCCACCAGCCGGTCCCAGTGTTTGGAACTAGGGCTCCGCCTACCTGACGGCCAGGGCCGGGCGGACCGCGGTGAACGAGCACTTCCGTCGGACACACGCGCTTCCGGCTGCGTGGGACCAATCAGAGCTCGGTCGCGGTGTTTCCTCGCAGGCGTCCGGGCGGAGGTTGCTCCTGGAGGACTAGGGCGGCTTGGCCTTAGAGCCTGGTAAGCACCCCACCCGCGGCCCTGGGAGGCCCGCCTTTGGACTGCAGCCCGGCGCCCTTTATTTTGCATAATGGCTGAGCCTTTAGAGTCCTTTGTAACGCTCCTTAGGGCCAGGTCTTCGTAGTCAACTCTTGCCCTTTAGTTCTATCTTGGAACTGAAAAGTTGGTAAAAATTTCCTGTGACCTTGGTGCAGGTCACTTAACTCTTTGGGGTGGCACGGAGTCTTCCTCTTTAGACGTGTGTCGAGAGCAGGCAACCTATGAACTTAGAAGGATGTGAGTGAGAGGCAATGGGGAAAACCTAGCTTTGTGAAGTACCTTCCCTCCCAAATAATTTTCAAATCTGGGAAAGAGCAGATCCACTTTCCTGAAAGCGACTTTCCGAGAACTAGGAAAATAGCTGCTGAGTGGACTTTTAAATGTTAGCAGGGAACTGAGTGGAGAGGAGGCTGTGCAGCCCTTTGGGACCCAGATCCTGAATGAGCCTCAAATGTTGGACATTGGACTACACTATTGGATTCTGGTTTTGCTTAAACGTGATTATTTCTATTCTCTGGTTCTTCCCTTTTTGGAAAGTATGAAACTTTTTTTTTTAACAGGAGCTCATGATTAAAAGACTTGGACTTTTAAAGAAATTTAGAACTTTAAAAGTATTGGAATTTTTAACGACTGAGAAATTTGAAAGTTGGCTTATGTTTTGTATTATGCTGTCAATATGAGACTTTGAGGACAATAAATTGAAAGGTTATAGTTTACAGTGATGTGTTTGTGTGTCAAGTTGAAAAGGGGTAGAGGTTCATAGTTAACTTTAACTGTTTACTGCAATAGCCTAAAGTTGTCTGAAAGGAAAGCCCAGATTGATTGAAGAAATGCCTAGATTGCGTTGGCCTGTGGCCATGTCTTCGGGAGACTGTCCTGTACATTGGTGGAGGAGGGCCCAGCTCACTGGGTAATACCATTCCCTCACAAGGGGGCCTGGCCTGTATAAGAAAGCCAGCTTACTGGGTGCTAGGCATTGGTGCATGCCTTTAATCCTGGCACTCAGTAGGCAGATGCAGGCTGATATGTGTGAGTTCACGCCAGGAGGCAGCATTCCTTGCTAGTGTCTGCTTAGGACTTACTGGAGCTCATACCCTGCCTTCCTCAGTGATGGCCTGACCTGGAATATAAAGCAAAGGACCCTTTCCTCCCTGAGTTGCTCTTGGTCAGAGTGTTCCATCATAGCAGTGGAGTGAGGCTCAGACACTGGCTGTGTGCGCTATAAAATAATTGGCTGTAATGATATGAAAAATTGTTGTAATAAAGAAATTCTCTTTATCCAAAACTTCATGCAATATAAAGAATCAGTAAATTGATCTTGTTGAAATAGATGGTCTGAATCACCGTGTCTGTTGAAGCTTTGCTTTGCTGGTTTCTGAAATAAATGGTTTTGGTTGTCCATGCTCATTTCAGCAGCTGTCATTGGCTCAGACACTAACGACCCTGGACCAGAAACTGAGGTTTATAGGAAGTCAGTGTAATGGTCTTGAAAGTACTGTATAAACGTTCGCTACTTTGGATGAATTTGTGATGGCAATCCCTTGATACCAGTTAACGAATTCAATTTCCTGCTTCTTCCTCACTTATTTGTGTTGAAAAGTAACTCTCCTCCATGAAGGCTGGTTTTGGCATGCTTCCTGCGTGGCTGTGGTGTGCAGCTGACCTTCCATGTAGGAACGGCAGCTAGGGGAGCCTCTTGTGAGCGGCTTGACAGTAAACGACTGTGCTGCTGGGGCAGGCTCAGTCAGCCAGGCATGTAACCGAGGCAGGAAACCAGCAGGACCACAGGCTGGCCTCAGACTGTTGGCTTAGCTTCTGTCCTTGGACATGACACTTTGGACAGCCAGATGAGCCCCATGCCAGAGAAAAGCACTGCAGGACAGAACACAGGATCTAATTAAGGTGGAGCAGAACTTGGGAGAATTATTCTTGCCAGGCACGGTGGCACACACCTGTAATCCCAGCACTCAGAGAGGCAGAGACAGGCAGATCATTTTGAGTTCGAGGCCAGCCTGGTCTACAAAGCGAGTCCAGAACAGCCAAGGCTGTACAGAGAAACAAAAAAACCAAACTATTCCTTCAAAATTTCGTATATAAATAAATAATAAATAAATAAATGTTTGATCATATTTGCCCTGTACCCTATTATTCCCCACCCACCCACATTAAACCTTTCCTCGGAACAAGTTCCTGTAGAGGAATTTTAATTCAGAACATGGCTGTTCCAGCCAGAGATTACATCCAAAGATATAGGCCTGTGTGATTGGGCTGGAATACAAACATGCCTTTAAACCAGGAGACAGAGGCAAGCAGATCTGAGTCCAAGGCCAGCCTGGTTTAGAGCAAGTTTCAGGTTTTAAAAAAACAAACAAAACAACAACAAAAAACACCTTAGATCCAGGCATGGTGGTACATGCCTTTAATCCCAAACAATGAAGGTAAAGTTAGTTTGTAGAAGGAAGCACCCATGTTTGAAAGGGATGTTTAATTGAGTAGCAGAAAATGTGACAGATCGGAGAAAGATTTGACGGAATGAGAAAGATTTGACAGAATGTGATACTCCAGTTCTCACGAGAAGAGAGAGAGCGGAAAGGGAAGAGAGAAGTGGCTGTTTTACTGGGACAGTAGTAGAGAGGTTGCAGAGAAAGAAAGAACACGGGTAAAGACTAAATGAGCCAGAGAATGAGGGGCCGGAAGATTAGAACAGACTGCTGGAGTTAGTTTGAAGCCAAGCAGAGCAATTCAGGGGCTGAGAGGAAAGCAATATTGAACAAGTCAGCTGGGAGAGGAGCTTGAGCCAGAGCAGCTGAGTTGAACCAGCCAGCCCAGAGCTCAATAAGAACAAAAAAGGGTGAGCGTATTAAGCAGTAAGTCTCAAAGGCTAAAAACGTTCTGGGCCTAGGTTAGCGGACGTAGGCAATAAGCCTCCCAAACAGCAATTACCTCAGGTGAATAAAAGTTACTTTTACAAGTCCCCTCCTACGTGTATGTCTTTTTTTTTTTCCCCTTTGTGGCCCAAAGGCTTTAATTAAGGTTGCCTACATGGGGGGGAGCAAGAGCACCTTGCCAGCGGCTACACCAGTGAGAAATCTGACTCCCTCTCCAGTAACCATTAACTGCCTATATCGAGGGAGGGGTGGGACCTTATGAGCCCCTCCTCTACCCATGATGATAGAGTGTTGAAAGGCCCAGTCCTGTGCAGGTCCTATGCAGCTAACTACTGCTGCTGTAAAAAGATCTAACTCTGAGACAGGCTCTCTCTATGTAATAGATTATATATAATAGATTATATAGTTCACTATGTAGATCAGGCTAGCCTCAGACTCACAGACATCCACCTGCCTCTGCCTCCCGAGTACAGCGTCTCATGTAGCTCAGGTGGGCCAGGAACTGGTTGGATTCCTGATTCCCCTCCCTCCTGCCACATCTGGAGTGCCTGGGATTACCAGCCTGTGTGCCACCACCTGGGCATAGGCAGCGCTGGCGGCTGAGGCCAGGACCTCTGTTGTGGGCCAGCACTCTGCCACTGAGCCATGTCCCCAGGAAACTTCTTTCTATCCCATCCCTTGCCTCCCCCTCCTCTGTTTAACATTGTTGTCTTAGAGTTCTGCAGTAAGAGGAGCCAGGCCTCCCTACATATGCTGATCTTTCTTGGTCACATGGTGTCTTCCCTTGAGGGGTCTGCAAGCGTCTGACCAGGATGGGCACCTGGGAAGTGGTTTTACTCACCTGCAGATACCACACTGCCCACCGACAGCAGCACAGATAAGTAGTAGAGTTCGGGGGTGGTTTTCTCCTGTATGAGAAGCATAAAGCCGCATCAGAAATACCGTTGTCATTTAGCCAGTGGTGGTTGGTTTCTGTTGTTGATTCAGGACAGGGTATCACTGTGGAGCTCTGGCTGTCTTGGAACTCACTATGTAGACTGGGCTGGGCTCAAACTCACAGAGAACTCCCAGCCTCTGGCCCCCAAGTGCTGGAGTTCACGGCATGCGCCACTGTGCCCAGCCTTGTTTGGGTTTTGATTTGGTGTTCTGCTACACAGCCCAGGCTGACCCAGACCTTGCGTTCCTGCTGCCTCTGCTTCTGACGCTCCACAGTCACGGCACGTGTTCTGTATCAGTCTTGTAACATCTGTATTGTCTTTAATAGTTATTTAAACTGTTCTTAGAGCCAGTGAGATGGCTTAGTGGGTAAAGGCGCTTCCACCGAGCCTGACAACCTGAGTTCAGTACTGCAGGAGACTGTCCACGCCACAGAGTTGACCTCTGACCTCCACATGCTTGCCATAGCATTGGTGTCCAAATACATATCAACCCACATAGTAGTGATACACTTTTTAATTTGTTAAAAGATAAAATTCTACTAAAGTGGAATTCACTCACAATAAGAAAATCTCAAGCCTAGTGTAGTGGAGCACGCCTTTCAGCCCAGCACTCTCGAGGCAGAGGCAGCTAGATCTCTGAGTTCAAAGCCATTCAGGGCTACATAGAGAACCCCTCAAAAAACAAGCAACAACAACAAGACCACTGTCACCACTACCAGCAACCACAGTCTCATGGGAATTTTCTAGGGAAGTGTTGGCATGGAAACAGGGTCTCATGCGTGCCAGGTTTGTTCTCCACCAATGAGTTATCCACCAATGAGCTACACCATACTCTCTAAAAACAGCTTCTTTTTTTGTGCATGTGTGGCATATTCGTGTGTGTGTGTGTGTGAGGGTGAGGGTGTACATATTTGTGCAAGTGTACTCCTGCATGTAGAGGCAGGAAGATAACCTCGGGCATCATCCTCAGGAACGCTCTTCGCCCCTTTTAGACTAGGCTGGCCCTGGGGCCCTGGGATCTGCCTGTCTTTGCCTTCCCAACGGTTGAATTACAGGTGTGCACCCTACACCCAGCTTTTTCCTGTGTGCTCTGGAGATCAAATTCATGTGAGACAAACACTTTGCCAGCTACATT